TTTTACGTCTTACTCTAAACTGGAAAAAACCCCCAACAATTGGAAGATTTTTTTTAAAGTGGGAAATGCATTGTTTTGCCTAATATGTCCCCTTTTCTGGCACTTTTGCATTCTCCATCCCTTAATAAGTTTGAGGCAAACACCTAAGAAACAAAATCTCAGTCTGAAAGGCTGAAATGTGGCAAAGTTATAAGAAACTGAGTACGGGAAGTATATAATGCTCAGGACCACTGTTTTTAGGCCACACCACTGTCTGGTTCTTAAGCAATATTGTAAAGTGAAATTCCATGGTAAGGTCAGGATGCAAATATACCAGGTAAGAAAAGCTGATTGATATAGTGCAAAGACATCAGAAGAGAAAGCTGTGTAAAGAGGAAGAAATTGATGTCATTTATTGCTGACATGGCTTTCCCCTGTCTCTCTGTCTTTCTCCCTTTATATTTGTTCCATTTTGGACCCAGAAATGAATACAAATTAGTTTAATAAAATTTCCCAACTGAGATACAAAACATTTTTGGAAATGATTTTAAAGTATACCATGCAGCTGAAATGTCATGGTTAATTTTAATCTGCAGCATGCGGCTAATGTCCTCTGGCTATTTCAATGGTGCAGAAGATTGTAATTATTCACCTGTTAAAGCAAATGAGGCTTTAACAAGTCTGATCACAGTTGAAAAGGAAGAGTGGAGAGGACAGGTAGACAGATGCTGTCTCAGTATGTCATCTGTGAATGATGCCTAGCTATAAAGAAAAAAGCCTATAATATAAAGTGGACTGTTTCCTGTAATAGCAACTTTTTCTAGATTTTCCTTTGACAAAGTTTTCCCAGCAATGGTATTGCAACAGAGACAGTGCTAGTGCAGTTCCCAGCTGGTATATGTCTCAGTATGTCATCTGTGAATGATGCCTAGCTATAAAGAAAAAAGCCTATAATATAAAGTGGACTGTTTCCTGTAATAGCAACTTTTTCTAGATTTTCCTTTGACAAAGTTTTCCCAGCAATGGTATTGCAACAGAGACAAGTGCTAGTGAGTTCCCAGCTGGTATAACACATCCTTTGTTACGGAGATGAAAAAAATAAGTGAGATGACATAAAAATATCATCAGTGGTGACCAAACCACTCTTTCATAAGTGCTATCCACGATTGTCCTTGCAGCAATAGCTGCTTTCTGCTTCCCCTCATCAGCATTTTGGCATTTTTTGCCTTTGATCAAAAATTTATAGGGCCTCATTCATCAAGCTGTTAATTCACAATTGCTCCTGTCCCTTGAGCTTCACTGGCATGAAAGAGGAGCTTTGCAATTGTGAGTGAGGCTTGTGGCCGTCCTCGGGCCAGATGAGGGAGCCCTTCGTTGGGTCTTTGCCTGGGTGTCAAGAGCTGGTCCTCCTCCAAGGTATGCTGGTACGCCAGTGTCACTGTAAGAGTGCTCGCTGCAATCCTTCTCTCAGTGACATGTGTCCATCTCCTGTTGATTTTGTCCAGGAGAGAGAGGAGTTCGGGTCACTGAGAGGTGGACTTGGCCTGCATCTCAGCAGGTAATGGCTTCAAAGCATAAGCTGTGTGAGAGGCCCCAAGTGACTAGCACCGTGCCCAGGCCACATGGTGTTTGGGTTTTGGCTTTAGCTACGTGGCCACACCACTTATAGGAACGTTGTGTCACACTAGGAGCTTTTTTCTGACATGAATTGAGTAAAATGTAGAGAACTGAGCTGTCCCCTCATGGTGGCTGGGGAATTTCTCATCTCCTGAGACCTAAGCTCCAGTAAATGCACTTTTCCACCTGCTTTTGCCTGGTGTTATGTGTTTTGCTCTTTGGAAGGTAATATGTTCTATACAATCTCAATTTTAATTTTTGTATTTAATTTTTGTTTTGAGAAAAACACCTTGATCTTCCTTCAGTCCACACTGATCTCAGTTAAGGTTGGGTAGTTTAAATCATAAACTCTTTTCTAACGGGAGGCTGTGCCCACGTAGCAGTAAACAGAACTTGGCTCATCAAAATCATGTCACTCACATGTGGAAGGTAAAAAGCACTTTGAAGTGGTAATGAAGTAAGTTCCTGCTGCTTAACAGAAAGTTTTGATAAGATCATATTCGCTGGGAGAGTACTTAGCAGAAGAGCTGTAATTCATTTTGTGGAAACAAAGATCCCAATGGAAAGTAGATGGGAAGTTCTAGCTGTTCACCTTCTTAACAAAATGCGTCCTCCTTCCTTTGTGCATTTCCTTTGAAGAGGCAGGTGTGGTGGTCCTGGGCCATCTCCATTCTACACAGTGGCTGTGTTCGCTGATGGCTTCAGAGCCAACAACAGATGACAATGTGTTTTTGTGCTTAAGCACAGTGAACCCCTTCGGGCCTTTCAGTCTTTTCTCCTGTGGGAAAAAAATGTACATTTGCCAGGTGAGTGGAGCGCTCTCACTTGTCCCTTGCGAGGCTGTGATAGCAATGTCATACTCCTCCCATTCTCCACGCTGTGCTCAAAGTGTCCATGTTCCCAAATTCTTGTTCCTTTTTCTGTATCTTGTGGGGTTTTAATCTGAGCTATCCTTTGTGCTTTCTCTGGGCTCGGTTGAAATATTTTACAGTGGGATTTTTTGAAAAATGCAGGATAGGTGTCTATCTTATAGCTCACCTTGCTTTGGCCCTGAATATTACTTTATCTGACCTCTATTTTTCAATTTGTCCAGCTTAGTAAACGCTTCTGGCAGAGTGCTGAAAGCAGTTAGACATTTCAGAGTCAGGGCAGCACCGCAGCCCCTCAACCACTTCAAGTTCATGCAATCTCTTAGGTAGAGAAAATGATGAAAGAAACAACAGACGGTAGCTTTCAGACAGCTGAGCCGTTTGTGGAAAAATCAGATTTTAAAGAGACTGAAGCAGTCGGAATGCTTTGGGACAACCCAGAACAAGCATGGGTAATATGCACAGCGTATTATTAAAAACAGGAGGCAAGAGAGTGAGTTTTAGGTTTTTACATAGTGATTCTGTTGGTTTTGAGGCTTGGAAAAAATTCACTGTGGAGATGGTCAAATACCCACTTCAAAGAGAGGGCACAAAATGCCAGGACCTTTCTGGTGTTTCCCAGTACACTATGGCCTGCAAAATCCTAGTTTCAGTAACCGTATATTGGCTGGTGTGCTACATACATAGGTGCAGGAAAGCCCCTTGTGATTTCTAAAAAGAAAAGATTAATGTGAACATCAGCTACTCATGAAAAGCTGACAATACAGGCACAGGTCTCAGAGGTTTTAAGAAAGGATGTGATGGTACGAGATTGTCTAGGGGCCCTGATGGGAGACATTGGATTCCCTGAACATGAACATATCTAGTGACTTAGAGGCAAGTGCTTTTAAGCAACTGGGCTTGAGCTGTGGCCTCAAACACCAGTGACCACAGTGCCATGGCATGGACAGGAGAACAGTGTTGTCCTTCCCTCCTCCCACAGCCATAGCAGGTTGCTCACACCTCTTCCCAAGGGCGCTTTCTGGGCCCGTCCAAATCCCCGATGGACTGCAGCAGTTGAGCTTGCTGGGGGAAGAAGTGGTGTAGCGGCAGCTGTTTTCCTCCTTAGATTTCCATGAAGTGAGCATGGCCAGCCACTTTCCATGTCCCTCTGGTGCCAGGTGGAAAGTCGTGTCTCTGGAGAAAACGTTCCCTAGGTTAACAGGAAGAGGTGGATGAAGTTGCGGTGGGATCGTGGGGCTGCGTCAGGCATATTCCCATACACAAGGAGGAAGGCAGTGTCTCAGCTGCTGCACAGGGAGTTTGTCCCTGCAGCAGCCCCGGCGGGAGGGAACGGCTTTGTGTCTTCCGCCTCCGTATTTAATCACAGTGGGAGTCGAGTCATGGGGGGAGAGCTCACAAATCACGACAGGCATATTTGCTCCCACTTTGTGGGGTCGTAGCAGTGTGACAACTGTTAACAACTTCCTACTTGAGTAAATTATATCAGACACCGCTTTGCAAAGGTTGCTGTAATGACTTTTTAACAAGAATTTATCCAGGAGCCATGACACGGAGCGTAAGTAATTGCAATCATATGGTATCTGTGTCATTGATGGTTTCTGCTATTTTGCAGTAAGTACTATAATACCATGTATAATTGGAAAGAAATATAGTATTTTTTTGCTTTCTTAAGAATAAGAATTGATGCTGAAATACGGAATGGTCCCTAAAATCCTGCTGTGTATTAATGTAAATCTGTGTAGTATGAAATACAATCTTTCTTAGCTGATACCATCTAAACTAATGTTGCACCCACGGAACTACTATCAATTGTCTCTGCTTCTGAGTTAAATTTTTGGATATCAGTGTAATAATCTACCATGTAAATCATTCACTGTGTTGGGTTCGTAAGAGAAGCAAGACTGACTCTGGACATGAGTATGTCTTGTGTTATTAGTGTATGACTCCTTATTCTCGAAAGACTCAGATTTAAAAAGAAGGAAGATTCCACACTCTTATAAGTCTCCTTTATCAGTATTTGAGAATTAGGAATGTACGGGCAAAGCAAAGAGTAATTTACCTCACTTTTGTGGGTCTAGCTTTCCAAATAAATTACACTCATGCTATTGCTGCTGGGAACATCTGCATTTAAATCAGTCACAATACAGTAATGCTATCTGCCAATAATACACCTTCTCTTTTTCCAGGGAAAGTCTGTCTGGTGTGTGTCAGTAAAAGGAGGTCACTGAAGGAAAAAAAAAAAAAAATGCTGAGGCAGGAATGAAAGCAACATCACTTAACCTAGAATAACTGAATATTGCTAAACTAGCTCTGAGCCAGGCCAATCCCTCTCATCCAAAAAGAACCCAGCAGGTTGAACACTGCTTCTGACCTGCGTCTCAGTTTTTTTATCTACCTAAGCCTTTATGGGTGAATTTATTTTTAAGGAAAGGTTAGCAGATGGATGGACTCCCACGTAACAGAGTGTACCTCTTGTGAAACCTGACAGTAGACATGAGTAATAAATAGCTGTTGATTTTTTTTTTTTCACAGGCATCAGGGTTACGTTTATACCTACAGAGTGTCCAAGACAGAAACTGGGTCCTGGAGTGCTGAGGTGTGTACTTCTCCTTTCTCTTCTGAAAATTTCTACATCCTGTTTGATGTTCGTATTGATTTAATGAAATATATTCAAATTATTCATGTTTCTGCATAGTCTGATGTTCATCGAAGGTAATCGATCTTGAGTGCGTCCATCACTAAGATGTCTTGGTGCCACTTCTGACAGTCTCGAACTCATAAATTAATTCCCTGTTACATTTCAGCTGTTGCATAATGCAATAGTGCATTCGTTTGCATCATTTTAAATGGCAAAAATATTGTTTTTTTATAATTTAACAAGCACAGTCAGTTCCCTTCTATCCCATGTACCATTAATGTCAGAATATTTAAGGAAATTATTTTCAATCTACAGTGTTTTAAAGTTAATTTCTCTCCAGATTAATTCACCATTGGTGCAAAACATATGTAGGGTAGCCAAAACTTGATACAACGTATATTTTCACCCATTTGATAAGAAACTGGTAATTCAAGTGTAGAATAACATCGTTTGCAATACAGACAACTATTTGGGTTGATGGAATCAGGATGCTAACCTGTATTTCTTTTATGAAGGTCTTGTTCTTTGGAGGTACTCTCTGTATTAATTCATATTTAGCTTTCTGTTTGCATGTGTTAATGAACACTGATTACAAACATTAAATAATTTCTAGACAGGCGTAATTCCTTGGCCATTATTATAATAGAAGTGGTTGCAGTGCTCTGGAAGGTAAGACTGATTCCTGGGGTTGCTCAGAAGCAGATCGGGGAGTAAAAGTGACTCACATTACTGCAGAGTAAATAATTATCCGTGTCACCCTTGGGAATGGTACCCAGGAAGAATTTGCTCATTTGTTCCTGTAAGGCATCCCGCAGATTTGCACTGCCCAAGGAGGAGGGTTTTTGGGGCGGGTGGGGGTGGTAATGCACCCGGCGTGCCAGGGTGAGACTGGTGTCTCAGGAAGGATGCCAGGACCCCCGGGGACCTCCACCTGTGGGGGACAATTCCCTGAGCGAGGCTGCAGCCTGCTTTGGCCCAGGTAACATCAGCATCTGCAGTGAGGTTTTTCTGGTGTTATATAGGCCTGCTACAGCTCCTCCCCCATGACCTCCGCTGGCTTCCTACGTATGGGTCTTGGGCTTTCCCTCGCTGTATTTTAGGCAAAGCTTATCTGTGTTCCACAGCGTAGGTGTCCTGAAGGCCCAGGACTCTCAATACCTCCTCTGCAGGGAAGGATGCTGGTTACAGACCCATGATACCAACCCTTCCTTTAAGTGGGCAGAAACCTTTAAGTAAATGTTACTAAGACCATGCTGGCCTCAACTGTTAGAAACAGCAGCCTAAATCCAACTTATCAAGGCCAAAACAGGCTGCAGCCGCAGCTGGTGCTTTCTTATCTCTGCTTCCTTCCCTGTGGCTGGTTAGTGTCTGAGCAAGCTCAAGTTGCGCTCATCTTTCAAGGATGAGGCAGGGAAATTAAAATAGTGCTGGTAAAATCCCAGCCGGTGCGAAGCCTCCAGCTGGTGCCAGTGAGGCGGGATTTAGCCCACGACTGCTGGGTGAGAGCAGCGTCCCTCGGGTGGGACTATGCCGGCAGGACCTATGCTTGTCCTCCCATGACTTTGGTGGGGAGGAGTTATTACAAGAACGGCCTGAAGGATTTAACAGAAACATTGGATTTTTGATTAAAAGCAGACACAGTTTCATTTCACAGTGCTTGAAAAGATGCTAACGTAGAAAGAGAGATAGAAAAGCTCCCACTTTTAATAAATAGGTAACATTTTGCTGCTGCCTTTGTACAAGAGAGAGACAGGAATACTCAATGAACACATTGAATGCTCAGAGAAAGGCTTGCAAAGAGGCTGTGTCCGAGCCTGAATTTCGTGGTGTAAGGACTCCCCCTCCCCGGTAAGTGCCAGGTAGCTCTCTAGATTGTCTTACTGGTATTGCCAGGCTGGAAGTATCTTACCGATAAACCCCAGGCTGGAGGTTAAATCACTGGCTGCAATAAATCAGGGTCAGAAATAGCAAAAGGTCACTTGGGAATTTGCCTAATAAGCACACCAGGCTCTGGGTTTCTCTTGTAGTGATTAAGAAATCGTCACTCTTCCAGGCTTATATCACCACACTGCTGAAAACTGCTCTTAGTGCAGGGAGGCCACGATTCCCCGGGGGAAGGAGGAGGACAGTACGGCTCATTGACTCTTTTTAAGTTGGCACATCACGGGGTCCAAGTGAAGGGCTGGCTCCTTCCTGGGGGTGTGTGTGCATTTCTGAGGACAAGGCTTCTGTGCCAGCACCCCCAGCCCGGCACAGACGCTCGGCACCCAGAGTCCCCTCTCACCTCTCACCCTTTGGTTTCACAGACAGCGCCCGGAGTCCACCGGAGGCTCTTTCGGAAAGTGCACAACCTCATTTCGGCCTTCCAGAAACCTGATCAAGGCATCGTAACGCCCCTGCAGCACCCAGTCATCAACAACGCAAAAGCCAAATACCCTCCAGGTACTCATGGGGTGGAGGGAGCCTCGGCTGCAGCTAAGCAGAGCCCTCCACGGCGGCGGGGATGGAGGTCTTAGACTTATTTGCATCTTTGACCTGAACTAGCCAGCAGGGTGGCATTGCCAAAAATATGCCCTAACTTTGCTACCGTGTGATCAAAATGCTGGCACTCAGGTGCTCATTAGGGAGGAGAAAATGGATTTTGAATATGTATTCCTGAGTGCCATACCGGCGGTGGCTACCTGCCCTCCCCAGCCCCCTCGCTCTCGTAGGTACGAGCCTTCTGATCTGTCCATTTTCTTGCAGCGTTCATCGTTTCGTATCTTTGTGATTATTTTTCTTAGGGAGAAATGAAGGCCATGACTTCCACCTGCAGCCATCATGAAGATGTTTCCCCAAGTGTGACATAACCATATCGTCCAGTATCTCCTCTAGTCCGTGCTCTAGAACAGAACAATTTATATGATAGTTAATACAACTCCATGAGTTTTTTTGTAACATTTGCAGAAATGTGTATTTCATAGAATTTCTAGCTCAAAATTTAGAAGTTTTAAGTTTCAGAATGTTTTGATTTTAGGGTTTTTCTTTTTTTTTTGTAAGAGGATTAAAAAAATACCAACTACTAAATAGTGTGATGTCTTTTTTTTCTCTTTGTACTGTCAAGTACAAAATATTTTTCACTTCAAGATTAGGTCCTAATTAATAACTAGTTACTAATTTTACATTACTTAACTTTGGACTCTGCTTTGCATTTACGCAGAACTGGGCAAGTCCCCTCTTACAGCCTTAGGAAAATTGCTTACATTAAGATGTCCTTGCCTTGGGTGGGCTGTGTGACTATCAGTCATAGAGTTCCTAAAGACATTCCAGAAGTGGCACCATGAGGATCCCCACTAACTGGTTTCCCATCATACCAGGCTCTCTGCCCTGTAAGTCGGCAGAACTGGCCACCACTGCCAGGCTGCACAAAATTTGTAGTTTGCACAAATAATCAAAAGCTTTAGTAATGCACTGAGTAACCGAGAACAACCAGTGAAGTGGAGGACATCGTTCTTTGCTTTTAGATATTTTCTGTACTTGAAACAAACCACCCCTGCGTACAATTTTAAAAAATAAATTATTTTTGCATGACAGCGTCTCTGCTTTTCTCTACTATCCGTGTGTGTTTCCATGCTGCTGCTGGGCTCCTGGAGGAGAGGTTTGAATCTACAGGACTCGTCAGCTGTGCAGGGTTAGCACCTGGCTACCGGAGAACTCAGAGTACATGCCTTTTACACGCGGGGTTTAACAAGCATGATGACACTGTCCTGCCTGAACTGGCAGACAGTAGCAAACACTTTTGAACAGACTGGATGTCCTACAGCGCTCTTGTTTCAGGAGACGGTACTGTGTCTGCACTGCAGTCAAAGGGTGGTTGACATGGTCCGGGCTCCTTCTGTGTGGGTTTCTGCCAGGCAGACTTGTGTGAGCTCCTGTGAGCTTTGGGAGGGACCCCAGCTGGGGCCCAGCGTTGTTTGTGTGTGCTCAGTCTGCGAGGGGGATGCATCTGGTCTGGCCTGAAGGTTTGTGCCACTGTTAGTCACCCTTCAACCCGCACAAATGGTCCCGACTATCCAAAAAAGATGATTCTCCCGCACTCCCTTCCAAAGCACAAGACTAACAGTGATTGCAAATGGACTACAAAAATATATATTTTTAAAAATACAGCTCTAAACATTGTATAGCCACCTTTGGGTTGCTCCGGTTAAATATTCTGTGCCTATACTTTCAATTTCCTCTGCACAGCTTGGAAGGAAGGAACCGTTTCCTAAGACGTAAAGAGGCTTTTTCCAGAAACACCAGGCTACAGGCTCAGGAGAACAAACCAGACCAAATTCCAGCAGGCACGGCCAAGCCGTGGCTCAGCAGCAGGGTCCGAGGCTGGTCCCTGGCTGTTCCTGTCCGGCTTTGTGCTCCTGCACACCATCCTTCCCCAAAGCCAACCGAGCTGCTGGGTGCTGGCAGAGTGCATGTGTGCCCCCAGGCTTCCCGGGAGAGCCCTTTTGCTTTCTAAGTGCTGGGTCTAAACTCCTGGTTTAACTGGCCTCTCCTGGGAGCAGGAAAGGGTGTGCCTGGAAATGGTCCCTGGCAGATGATTGCACCGTGGTGGGGATAAACGTAGTGGGAAGCACTTTGCCCAAGGGCTGTTTCCTATAGAAATGTCCTATTGACAGCTGAGGCTGTCAGTGCTGCATGTGCAAACCCTGTGCCACAAGAGCAGCAGCTGCTCATCCGCTCTGCGGTGCAGTGAGCTGAGGATAACTGGTTTGACTACGGCTGACTCCAGAAGTGCATTGCTCTTCTAAAAAATACATAAAATAGGCCAGAAGATGCCATTTTTATTTAAAGCTGAGAATGTCGTTTCAGTTTCTGATGCAAATTATTAAGACAGAGGCTTGTTTGTGTTGTTTCTTTTGGGTATCCAAGAGTCTGGAATTGCTGTAGGCTTAAACAAGGTGGAAACAGAGAGAGAAGCTCCTGGTACCTGTGGGACAAGGAGTCGATGTTTGGTTATGGGAACAGTAATATGGAAATTATATAGATTTCCTGCATTGACTTAGGGGGGAAGAGCTACAGATCCTTTCAGAGAGCAGCAGCCGCCACATTTTGTGGGCATGACTTCCCAGGTAATGTCTGTATCACCTGCTTCATCCTTTCCACCACCCCCGCTGGGCTGCAGCCACACTGGGACGCAGCCCCTCGCTGTTGCGGTTGCTCTGCATTGTCCCCCCCAGCCCTCCTGTCCCCCCCTTTCCCTGGCTGCCGCAGCCCCGGCTCTGACAGCTGATTTTGCAGCTCACTGCGGGTACTCTCCGTCCCCTGCCCCGGCCTGCCCTGCTCTGCCTTCTCCCCAGCAAAGGCAATGCTGCTCCTCTGCAGCAACTAATCCTGCCACAGCTCTGGTTTTGCCTCCGCTAAGCCCTCCCCTACTCCCCGGCTATGGCTGTGACAGACCTCCTGCAGCACTAAATCAATACCGTCTCCCAGGCTGGTTTTCTTCCCTTTTCTACTAGAGCACCCCTTTGGCCTCGGTTCCTTCTTATCTGTCCAGCCCAGCAATTCCAGCTGCAGCCCTCGCTCCGGGTTATTGCCCAGCCCAGCTGCTCCCATCTGTTTTTCATCACGTAACCTTTCCTTTAGCCTTAAACACTCCTTCTGCCCCTCTGGTTCACTGTCTCCTCCTCTCTGCTGCATGCGCTGGGCTTTTTATTTTTCCTCACGTGCATACTTTTGATACACACGGTCATTCATCATCATCTATTTGAGGCCACTCTACAGAATGTGCAGGTACTTAAACTTTGCTCCTCGTCCCCTACCACCACCGTTGACTTCACCCACTCAGTTCTTGGGAGCGCAAAGGCATTTAGCAGAATGTTTTTCTCTCTCACATTTGTTTTGATGAAATGTAATAAACGGTGCACAGAAAGTGGCTGTGGTTTCACCTGCAGTGAAACCTGCAGTTATATGCATGAACTTTGGTGAATCAGAAGTAAAATTAAATCTTGCTAGCAACTCCCTGCCCCCCAACTTTTGAATCAACCAATATTGTCTGAAGCGCTTATTTAGCTGTATGGAAGCACCTTTTACTGACCCGACCAGAGTATCCCACCTACATGGTGTAAACAAAGACAACATCACACACCATCAGTTTGCACCTTTATTTTTTAAAAATGAAATAGTCAAAGTACTTTCTTTTTCAAATATCGACACATAATATATTAACTTTTAATATTTACAGCGTGTTGCTGGGATGTTCTTGTAGAAAATGCATGCTTCTGGTCTGAAACCCAGAGCAAAATGCATCAGACCATTTAACTGCAGCCATATAACATAAACCTGTACAGTATCCAGTCACTATTCAGCACAGGAGTTAGAGCAGGAATAAAAAAATTGGGATCTATTGTTTCCTAGCAACGAGGCTGAGGCCATTATAACACAATTTCTGTTAAGATCAGAACCTCTAACTGGTGTTAGACAGAAACTGAAGATCTTGGCATACATTGTAAACATTTTTACTGTTGATGAGAAAGCTAAAACGGAACGTTACTTTGACATACATCGTATGCTATGCTTCTCTTTCTTGTTTATTGACACTTCTGCCTGAAGAGTATGAAGATTTTAATGTTTTATCATGGTTCATACAAGTAAAATACTGTCAAGGACACGATCTGATATACTAACATTTATTAAAAGGCTAAAGTCCACCACGAGATCTAAGGAAAAACTGGAAATTGTCAAACACATTTCCTTAGACAAATAATGGCAGGTGACAAATGCCCGGACAAATCCACAGCGAGTCCGACTCCACCGGTCCCAGTTTCTGCCGAGAAGCGATGCCTCCGACAGTCAGGGCGCTTTTGACCTGGTCATGTTTTGTATCAAGGATGGGTTTAAGTAACAGTCAGCATTTGACAGGGAAAACCCTTACGGCTGTCGGCGGCAGCCTGATCTGAGTGTCACCGCGTTGGATCAGCTGCGCTACGGCGAATCCCCCCCCGAGCAAGCTAACACCCTGCCAGGGATCTGTCGATCTCTTTTTGCTCAGGCTCAGGTGGGAGCTCCTCTGCCTAAACCGCGTTCCCCTTCGGAACCGTGCCTTGGCTTCCAGCAGCACTGATGGCCATTGAGCACCTTGGAAAAGCTGCTGCTCTGTAACCCCGGCCCTGGTCGCTGGCGGAGCGGGGGGCTCGGCGGGCAAGGGAGCGCAGGGCGGGGATGCCAGAGCTTCGGGAGCGCTCACGGCCAACAAGAGAGGCCACGTCTACCTAGCTAGTGTACAACTGAGAGGACGTTAAAGAGCTCAGACCAAACAGCTAGGATGTGTATACCGAGATGCAAATCGACCAGTTCATATATATTTATTTGGCTATGTTCTACATAGATATCTATATATATATATTTATACCTTTGAAATGCTCTAGATTTGCTAAATAAATATGAAAGCAAAGGAAACCTTACTTGTACACACTATTCGTTTGGCTGTCATAAAAAATATAGCATATTTCTCATGGTAGGTATTTGCTACAGGATAGTGTGCAACAGTGGTTTTATCTTATTTTATTTTATTTTATTTTATTTATTTTTTCCACTTTCAGAACCTTGTTTGCAGTGCAGAATGCTAGCATCAAATTATCTGATCTAAATAACAGTATAAATTTCTATGCCATTATTCTTCTTTTTTGCTTTTTCTCATTTGGGTCTCTAGGCTATAGTGCAAAATTAAAAAAAAAAAGAAAAACTACAAAAAACAACACTGAGAAATTGGTCTATCTACTAGGAAAAAAAAAATGGAGACTGAAATATTCCCTGCCTCCATCTGAGGTTGTTCATGAACAAGATGGTCCAACGCTATTTGTTTGCTACCGTTCTCACGAATCACTGCTGGCTGGCCCATGTGTAGCTACGACTTCAGTCTCCAGTGCTCTTTTGGTAATAACTCGTTTCTTTAGCACTGTCATCTCAACACGACATTTTTATTTAGTTTCCTAAATTTCTG